GTTCCGGGGCCCCAGGCATCCATATCGGTACGGCATCCAACGCAAAGAGTCGAATCGAATAGTAGAACCCTTTCCGCCCTTCCCCAAGGTTTTAGGTACAAGGCCTCAGGCATCATAGAACCTCTGCATGCCACTGATGCCAGCCTTTTAAGCATTTAATGTAAATGTATTAATTGATTTTCAGTAAACAATAACTCAATCAATAAACTTATACTTCGGAATTTGGGATGATATTAAACTGGTATTGTATGCTTGGGCTAACTGATTTCTGTAAAGATTATGGTATAGGATAATATTATAAAAACACTTTGATCAATTGTGTGTAAATATGCTGTAATTGTAATATAGCTCTGACGAGGCCTAGGGAAAAACTATTTTGTCATAACTTCACTGACCCTGGAAAAAGGCCCTGACCCTAAAAGGGTTACAACTTTTTTTTTTTAATGTTTCAGAGAATGTATCCAGATGTTTATATATTTATCAGTCAGTATCATTTTTCACCCCCTGTTATTTCCATGATGAAGTTTGTTTTAATGAGCCTGATCATGAAATCTAATTTTGATGGGAACTAATATTTATTGACATGAGCTATACAGGTATAATTATTTTAATAATAATTTTTCAAAGTATCAATCTGTCTATAACAATGAAATAATAATAATAATAATATTATATTGTTATATTTGTAATAAATGTTTAAGTGAAAAATCCAATAATTGGAAAGAAACTTCAGGAGTGGGACCTCTGGCTAACAATGAAATGGGGATGGCCTGTACTTCTGGGCTAGAATCCTGGTTCTGGAGCCTCTTTTTCCACTTACTGACTTTTTTGCTTAAACATTTAATAAGTGTGTTACAAGTCTATCAAATTGTTTAATGTATTTGAAACATGCACAATCTACACACTACTACTATATTAGTAGCACTTATGTTTGGCAGCATGTCTCTCACTTGATGCCATTGCTAGCTAATCAGAGAAATAACTTAATGTACCCCTCATGTACCCAAGCTTTCCTGTGTTATGATGATTTTTTAGGAAGTGCTCTCTTGTTCATTTCAAAGTTCTTGTAAGTATCCATGTAGTTTCTTTGCAAGTGCTTATAATTATTGCTTTATTTTGTCAAAAAGTGCAACTGTGATATTTATGGATAGTTTTGAAAATTGGGGGTTATTTCATTTTGGGATAGTATTAATTGGTATAGTATGCTCAGGTTAATTAATTTCTGCAGAGTGTTTAGTAGGTTTGCTTTATAACTGGAGGATGAATCTTAAAGTTGTCTAAACTGAATTTTTAGCTAACAGATAGATTAGACATGAAGTTTAATGCAAAATGAACAATCTTTTATTCATATTGAAACACAAAAACAAGTATGTTTACTTACTTTGGACTGTGGATTGGTCAACAGTTTTTCATCCCTCAATATATCTATCCATTGGTCAAACCACATAGATACCATGTTGAATTGTTGAAAATTTGAGATTTACCAATAGCGACTAGCTCTACTTGTGACTAGTCATTTTCATTCAACATAAAAGAGATTGTAACCTCTAGATATTGTCTATTCTACCAGGGAGGGACACTGCTGTAATTGATGTTGTCCCATAATGTGCAGCATAACAGCAATATCTCCACAGGAAGATCAGGTATTATTTATAGAGAACAATAAAGAAACAAAGTTAACTATTTTTCTGGACCTTATGTTTATGCAAAAATTGCATGGGTTCAGATTAAACAAAACACTTTGTGAAATTTCACAGTAAAATGAAAAGGCAGAAAATACATGATATGCTTGCTTACTACAGTTTCTAAAATTTGTTGCCTTTGGACTATGGAAAGTTTGTTTGAAAAATTTGATTTATCTTGCAGGTGATATTAACATATTAAATCTATATAGCTGTATAAGCAATTCAGAAAGTTTTAATTCTTTAAAGAATTGTTAAACATCATTAAGAAGAGAATTTGGTATGGTGCATGTAAATTAACTACAATTGTTACCTCCCCTGTATTCTAGTTGAAAGTCCATTTGAGCAATTGTGTATTAGAAAAATGAACTTACAACCTAAAGCCCCCCATGTGAAGTAACTAAGAAGGGGGAAAACATTTGTTAAAATAACATATATGGAACTAAAGTAACTTAAGTACTGATTTGATAGAATGCACTAAAAACTATCTATTTTAAAATAATGGTGTACAGAGCAGTATAATAATGATTAATATAAATAAATATCATAGCTAATTACCCTGATTTTCCTTGCATTGTTACCGTAAACTTTTTTTAAAGCCTATTTGCAGTGGTAGACATTTAAACAGTCATGATGTTTTTTGTAAAATTGGAGATGATCATCTTAGTTACTGGTAGTTAACACTTTGGTAAGGCCTGTCATATATTGAAATTCAGAATTTTTTTTTATTCAATTTTAGTTTTTGAGGTAAGTCTATCTATCAGATAAAATTTTTAATCTGTTCTCAACATTTCTGCAGCCTTGCATTTGAATTCTCATTTTCCAAATGCATGAGTCTACTGAAACTATACTGTTGATTTTGTTTAGAAATTTTAATGTCAGATACCATTTTCTGTATATGGTAATAAGATTTTTACATTAAACTTTTGTCGTTTTTTGTTGTTTTTGATTTGCATAATTTGTGCAGTAAAAATCTCCCCTCCCTCAAGTTTTCTTAATTGTAACAATTTTGTTGTTATACCATAAAGAACTTAGTAGGCTATAAAAATGTATGTATCCTTTAGTAATGAATATAGAAAAAACAATAACAAGAATGAAATTTTGTATTTTACTATCTATTTTTTTTAAATATTGAGATAGGATTTCATTAATCTTATAAGAATGTGGAAGTTATCCATTTGTAACATTATGTTGCGATATCAGTAATTAACATTTCAAACTGCTTTAAGAGCAGAACTTAGAGAAATTAAGTTTTGCATCATCCTGTATTTCAAATTGATATGTGTTTATTCTAAGTTAGAAATCATTTCTAACTTTGCATTGTATTAAATATAATAATACTGTATTGTGATAATGTTTTAATTATTCAATAAAAAAATGGTGATATTCATTGTAATTTATGTATTTAACGTTTTTGTTACAGGAAGTTATCAGTGATGAAGATATGTTTATAGCCTCTTCAAAGAAATCCTGATTTAGTTAGTGTACCAGAATGGTTATAAGTGTGTTTGTGGTGGTTATTCTGTGTCATTTCAGAAACTTTTATATACCTTTAGTGTAATCGTCACTGGATTTGTATGTCTTGAGTTCCCATCAGTAAGATATTTCAAATTATTGTACGTTATTATTTATTTTGCTAACAGTCTACCAATGCCTACTTACAGACGATTATGCACATTTCGAAATTGCACTTTATTGCTGATTTTAATTTGCTTATTGCTTGTGGCAGTATGGTCATCAGGTTTTATCCACTCAGCGTCCTTTAGAAATTTTCTAGCTGGTGAGATAGTGGATTTCAGTGGTGCTGACAATGTGACAGGTTTTAATAACTACATAGTACCTAATGTGGTTCACTTTGTGAAATTAGAAAATCATGAGTTAGAATTTGTTGATATGATCAGTATAAAAGCCGCTTTCCTTCATCAACATCCAGAAAAAATTTTAATACACTGTGACTGTCAAACTCTAAGTGGTAAATATTGGGAAATGGTAAAAGACTTACCAGGTTTGGAAATTAAATTTATTCAGAAGCCTATTTACATTTTTGGTCAGAAGTTGAGTTCTGTTTACCATGCCTCAGATATTGCTCGACTACGAATACTGATGTCTGAAGGAGGCATATTCTTGGACAGTGATGCTTATGTTGTAAAATCCCTGGATCCATTCCGAAAATTTGAAATGGCAATTGGATGGCCACCAGAACAGAATTTGGGAACACAAGTGATTATAGCTCACAAAAATGCTCGTTTTTTAAAACTTTGGTATCATTCCTACAAATACTACAAGCCCGAAAGATGGTACTACAATGCTGGTGAGCTTCCAACACAGATGATACTAATGAGACAACCAGACTTAGTGCATAGAGTGCCTTATGATTTTGGTGTACATGATCTTGCTCACTTCTTATATGGTGTTCATCGTTCTGACTGGCAGAATTTTCATGCAATTCATCTTCTTATTAGGCATAAATCTTATTTAGTTCCCAGTGACCCATTAGAAAAGTTTGATGAAAAAAACATAAAGGCATATGATAAGACATTTGGTGACATGGCTAGACTAGTTCTTTTTGGTAAAACTGATGTGATTTTAAATGTCACTTCAAATGTGTAAAAACTGCATCAGTAGAGTAGCCAATTCAATTTTATGACAGCTTGTGTATACTTGTATGTTATTTGATAACTACATACTAATGAACATATGGAAACATACATGTTGTATGTTTTATATTCTAAATAATAATGGGTTTGTACAATAATTTGTGCTATGTCATTTTACTTTTTTAATACACATAAACATTAATATGTTAAAAATATAAAAACTGCCCATGATAATTTGTAATATATCTAATAATTGTAAATGTTGTTAAGATATAGGGAACAACTTTTTATTAAATGTATATTCTTAGTGGGACAACAGAAAATATAGTATAGTTGTTTAACCAGGAAAGTAATTTAATTATAGAAACTTTAAGGTTGATCCACCATCTTAGGAAGTTACATGATTTTATTAAAGAAAGTAGAATAGAGACTTTAATCTTCCTTTCAGAAAAATCATAATCAGGAAAGTACCAACATTTATTGAGGGTCTTGGGTTTGATTCTCATTGCTACCAAACTTTTTTTACCATGTTTTCTTATGGCAAAGCTACTAAGGCCATCTGCCACTGTTGCTTAATTTAAAATGCAGCACTCACTGCCAACTCTTTGGCCACTTAAGTGTTAAATAAAGTGTAAATTTACTGTTGTTGTACATTGTATTATGTTTCTAATTCAAAATTGTATAACTTTATTATTTAATGTTGCATAAGCAAGCACGAATCTAGGGGAGGGGTCCAGACACCCCCATTCCAGTTTTGTTTTTCAGAAATTGATAAAAACAACCAGACATTCTTACACTATCATATTGTATCAAAAAAAATTATAAGTCGTATAATTTTGTTTGATTGCTCTATGAATTTCTGTAAAGGATGATTCATTGTTTTCTGAAGTAAACACAGCTGAAGTTTACAACAAAGTTGTTAAAGCCTCCTCAGCCAATAACCAATCATTTCTAAACTAATACAACAGTATGAATTTCAATTGAATATTGCAATAGTAAATTTTTGCACCTTGACATATTCCAGATATCCTAAAAATTTGTCTAAGGCTTTACCAGGCCTCCCAAAATTTCCTACTTTCTTCACTAATATTTTGAGGTTCTTTACCTTTCCATTATTTTTAGGTGAAATTATTATTTTTTCCTACTTTTTTAACTACACTTTTTGGCTTAGCCCAATGTGAAATACAAAACTTTTAGCAAAAACACATACTGTCCTATTGCGAGTATAGTCCAACGTCTTCTATTATTAACTTAAGATAGCGTAATGTTTCAGAACCTGGTGGTTTGCACAAGTTATCGCTTGTTGGAATCAGAGGCACAAACTTTCTCTTTCAAGATGAGCAAATTGTTTTCTCTGGTAAGTTACTTTAAAGTGCAAATATCCTCCATCCTAATGAAGAGTAATGAAGGGATGATTAAATGTTCCCTTACCTGAATATATTTTGGGTTTTCTAGTTGAAGCATGGTGCACCAGCTTTTGAATTTCTTGCCTTTGTTATTGTTTGCATAAGCTTTAGCTGCATGTTATTTGATTTTCATGTAGGAAGGTGTTCATTTCTCTGTCAGTCATGTCCTGAAATGGCTAGGCTCTTTTAATTTTAATAGCCAAATTTTATGCTAATCTTACATACGTCCATGGCTGTGGTGCTTTAGAAAGCTTCTTTAACAAGTTTTATATTTTCAGGGTAATGAGGAAAAAAAAACACACTAAAATGCTGCATGGAAAACATGATTCCGGCATCAGTGGTTAATCTATTTAGAGAGTAATGGTCATGAACTATCATGTTGGTGTCAGCCATTGCCAAATGGCTAGTTTCACTGTTTCTGTAATATTTGTCAAAAGACAGAAACTCTTGAAACATGAACAGGGAGATAAACATAAAGAACTGACTGTGGTGATGCTTAGTTCTTACCAGCAAACTGTTCTACAAGGCAGATTATGTATGTATGTTTTAAAGGTTTTACTGGCTGTGAATTAGTAGGCAACTGTGTAAAAATATTCTGGTAAGTCCCCTATGAAATCAAAATTCTCTCTAATTTTTCCTACCAAAGATTTTACTCTCTGAAAACTTTACCCTACTAAATTTCCTGCTTTTCCTCAGAGACCTGTTGGAAAACCTGTTTTAGAAATTTTTCACCTAAATTTGTATTTTTTAGGACATTTGTAGCCTCTATAACATAGACCTGTTACAGAATTGGACTTTTTAATTGTTTAGATACTAGAATTCTCATAAGAAAAATATATTTTGTATTGATGATGTCCAAAATTTGTTAAATTGCGGGTGGTGTGACCTGTACAAGTAACAACTGTAAAGAAAAATTTTATAACGGGCATTTTGTTTACAAACCCTAAAGTATGAATTTTGACATAAACTTGAAATTTTCTTTCTAAATAGAATTTTAAATACTTCTAAGTATTTAATTTGTAAACATAAATGTATAAATATATTATTCACAAGAAAGGTTTTGCAATTAATTTTATCTTTAAAAAGTTTTTTAAATAAGTAATAAACACTTCATCGAGGGAGATCTTACATTTTTTTATCTTATTTTTTATGAAATTATTATTGTCTGTCAAATGTCTTTTAATAATTCTTGAACGTGTTTTAAAGAATCTTTTTTTGAATAGTGAAAGGTGTATTTAACTAACTGACAGCTAATGTAGACGTATTGCCAAAACTAGTTGCATTTTTAAAATCAGTTTATTTGTGAGTTCCTTTTAGAGTAATAAAGTTTATGAACTTTATATAAATATTTGTTTTAGAAATATCATGAAATAAATGTTTATTTTCATTAGCAAAAATTCAGTAGTTTTAATACAGTAGTATTGTGGAAGTATGTTGGGAGAAACCCATTGAATTATATTAATCATATTTTCAGCTTGTTACAGTTTTTGTACTACTATACATGTATAATGAATTTTTGTGGATTAACAAAGTAACTTACTCCTAAATTATTGGACCTGAAGCTAGGACTTCTAGCTTTTTTAAGTTTTTTGCCAAATGTATTTTTCATCACTGATTTTAAGTTGATTTTGTATGTTACTTCTTACTTTTATTTCAACAATTCTAGCTCAGAAATGGTATAGAATTAATATTTTTTTCATTTGTTTAGTGTAACTCATTTACATAATTTTCAAAAATGTTTAAACTTTTATTTCTATACAGGAATGTTACCTGTAAACAATGCACTTAATATTGTTACATTTTGTTGCTCATTCTAAAAAAAAATTACTTTTTCCTAAGAATGTATCATCCTTTGAGAGGATATTTTTTTAATTAGTTAACTATTTTTCTGCTTAGTTTTAACCTTTATGAAGTCATATGAAGTGGTTTGATCAATGATTTACTATTAAAACACAGCTTTTGAAACAGCTGTGAAGAAAGTTTAAATATGATAGGGTAGAACAAGAATTGAACTATTATGTCATAATAGTGTAAATAGAGTGAACTGATTTGGGTGTTGGTTTGGAGGAAGGGCTGTGTTCAATTAAATCTTAAGATAACTTCTTTAACACAATGTTTGTTAATATTTTGGATCGTTGTTTAAAATTGCAATTATTTTGATAGATATATGTTATTAGTTTTATTTATACTAGTTGTAAACATGAGGGTTTTTTATTATGTTCATCAAATCAAATTGTTGTGAATTCAGAGAAGCTTAATTAAACTTAATGAATACAATAAACAATGAAAAAATATTCTGATGACTAATCTTTATCGATTGTTTGTTTTATGTTTATCCTATTCAAACAACATACATGAATAAATTGGCTAACTAGCTATTTAATTATTTCTGATTACAATTGTGACATGTTTTAGATTAAAACATTATTATGGTTATTAGTGATATTAAAACATATTTCCATTAATTATTAATTCATTTAATTTATACAAGATCTGTAGGGGATTGCTACATATTTAAAAAATAAAATCATGAGTTATCTATAGTCAACATTAGCTATTCACCAAGTGATAAGTGTCCAAATTATCTTTAAAAGCAACATGTGGCAAAAGCTAAGGTTTTGCCAAAATAATTTTCTTTAGACCCAAAATTAGAAAAAAAAAAGAAATGTACAAATGTAAACTGGCAGACAATGACTCTGTCATAATAAATGAAGGCTAAATCAAAAATTACTTAACCAAAAGCAAACAAAATTAGCTGAAAACAGAAAGATTAATATCATGTTAGAATAATGCAGTGGTTCTCAATTTCTTTCTTAGTGATGGGGGTATGCTGTAATAATTGATTAATGAGTCTGTCATTTAATTCATTAGCAAATACCATTAAATGCCCTGCTCTACTGAAAAGTTTTTCTAGGTGAGGTTAGGAAAAGGTAATGCCCAGGGATGGTGATCAAGCTTATTGTAAAATATTACATTCATATTTCCTTTTTTTGTCTTTATATATGTGTGTGTGTACAGGAGAATTCAAAATTTATGTTAAGAATTTAAGTAAGAATTGCACATGTAGTTATAAATCAGAATTTATAGGCTTAATATGCTGTAGCTGAGATCTTTAATGCTAGTGTATATATAAATACACAGACAGTAGCTTTTTGAATTTGATCTTAGAGGCAAGGTGTTAGTTATTGATTAAAAAGAGTGTATTGTGGCTTTATTCAAGTTTATTAGTATTAAATGTCAAAATAATACAAGCATAGTTAACAAATAATAAAGTAGTGTTTAAATATGCTTTAGGTAACCATTTGCCAAGCAGAAAGTTTGCCATGTGGATGTGTAGAATTCAGATATTCAACAGATAAGTTTAAAGTTTCTGTAGAATGCATGTTTCGAAATGTTATGCAGAGAAGAAACCAAACTCGGACAGCAAAGAAAAGCCAAACATGAGTGAAAAAATAAACAAATGTTTTTTTTGAAATAACATTTTTATTTATTACTAATTGGCCAGGTTAAGACAATCACAAGTGGCATGATATATTGAAAAGTCATTTTTTTAGAGTAGTATGTGGATACTGCTAATATGCAGATTAGGATAAAAATTAGATAGTATGTAACATACCCAATAAAAACAAGAAATCCAACTAGTGATCACACAGCATTATCTGAATATCCAATCATAAAATCACAAATAGTTATGAACTTGTCCAGTTGGTTCATACATAGTGTTCACTAAACTCTGTATGGGGAGGAGGAATAATGTAAAGGACTAAGTAGTATAAGATGGGTGAAGTGCCTTTATGAAATGGGCAAAATTGAATCTATATCAATTGTAGCTTAATTTTTTATTTTTGTCTTGTTTGTTGCTGGGTTAGATGTTGTCTATGGATCACTAGTTGGACAACACAGATCCAGATGTACATATATATGTATGTGATTTCAGAAATAAATGGGTAGAACATGTGGATAAGTTAAACAGGAAATGTAACTGAAACAAAAACATTAGTTGTAGTTACACATTTAACACAAACTAGCATCTCATCAAAAAATTTTAATATGCAGTTCAGCATCATCTGAATATTAGGCAGGTGGTAGCACTGCCTATGTAGGGATGACTTCTATTGTTCATTGAAATGGTATTATAAGTATCTGCTCAATATTTTATCAGAACTTTACCATACAGTGTTTCCTTTTATAACAACATCTATATAGTGACTGAGTCACAAGTTCTGTGAATGTATGTAAATATCATAGGAAAAAGTTTGAATTTCTTGTTCTTCTTTCTCTCTTTTATTACATGATAACTCAAAAACGAAAACAATGGTGTCAGTCAATTTCACTGAGGTGAAATAGTTTCAAACGAAGTATCTACTTTTATAAGTCTTATTAATAACTAATAGTAATTAAAAAATATATAATTCTAGTGTAAACGTTATTATAATTACCCCTTGAAGTTAGCTTTCTTACAGAAATTTTTGTTCCAATAGAAAGCTAAAGTACAGGGTGAAACCGGAATTACCAACCAATAATAGATAAAGAATAAATATGACAGTTGGAACCTTACTGTATTTACAACTTGGTTATAAATACAATCTTCCTATGTCTAATGAAACACTGCATTAAAAAAAAAATTTTCAAAAAAGTAAATGTAGTGATGGCTAATATCAATTCTTCAAAGACAATGCAAACAAGATAGTTGGGGTGGTATTTGCATCACCCATACATAATAGCACAAGCACACGGAGTAGTAGAATGTTAACAAACAAAAATAAGATAAATTCATTTGTGATTGAATAGTTATATACGTTAATTCTTGCCTGTGCTATAAAATTGAATAATAATATCTTAAGTTTTAACATATATTTAAAACCTTCAAAAATAAATTGAACAAATCATGACCGATGAATGCAAAATAAAATTAAAAACTAGATGAAACTAAACAGCATTTCCCAGTTGAAATGTTAATTGCAACTGTGATAGGCTAGATGTGTTTTTAGCACCTCCAAAACTCACACTCTACTCCCTCCAATTGTGGAGTACCGACACATTTGTTAGTTTGCTCTCCAGGTAGCGTGGTTCTTTGAACCACCAACCACGGGGCGGTAACTTTCAGAAGAATGGTAGACTTGAATATCAATAGTTTTAAGAATAATTATGTTAGTGTTGTGGTTGTTTTGTATATGTTCTTTCACACGCTATATAAAAAAACGATAAATTAGAATGATTACTTTTTTTCACATATAAAAAAACCCCGGTGGCACAGCGGCATGTCTGAGGACTTACAACGCTATAAATCGGGTTTCGATACCTGTGATGGGCAGAGCACAGATAGCCCATTGTGTAGCTTTGTGCTTAATTACAAACAACTATAACAAGTAATATATTTATTTAATGGAATTCCTAAAAATCTCTACTCTTGCTCATTATAAAGAAAAGATAACGTGCAGCAGATTTGTATTCCAGTATATCAAAAAAATATGCCTTCAAAATAATTAAGTAAGGTATGCATAATATTCGTTCCAAGGAGTTTTAAATTACATTCCAAAACATAGGAGAATAATAAACATTTTATGTAACATAATCATAAGTCATACCGTGCCCTGGGATTTTAATCACGTAAAGAAACTTTTAAATTGTATTGTCCTCTTTCTTATGTTTCATTAATTACATTTCAATATTCTACGAACTTAACTTTCAGTCTGGTCCTCAATATAAATAAATAAGTAATATGGTATTAAGACGTCCAGAACAGTAAGACTTTAAAAGGCTAAAGTTAGCTATGAGGTATAGTCCAATTCAAGATCAGTAAAAATAATGCAATTCGATGCTCGGGTAATATGGTTGACCACAAACATGATTCTTTCAAAAATGAGAAGCTAATGAAATTATTTTATAAATGATTTATTACTTTCTTATCGTCCATCGATAAGTGCTTCAGTTAAAGTGTACACAAGTCTCAGTATTTTTTTCTATGTTTGTAGATATAAATATATATGTTCAGAGTGTATCGCTTGCTTGACTGTGCGGAATCCAATGCATTGTGCAACAAGTAAGTTACTTGAATAGTGTAAGAGATCATTAACTGGGTTCTCTTTCAAACTGAGAGTTCAAAGTAGCCTTCTGATGGCTTTCTTATGCTTAACATCTTTATTCAAACCTAGTTATTCCGGTCAGTCAACGTGCTGATTCTCCATCACTGGGTTATTAATGACTTCTTCAGGATGCCAGGTCCATGTTTCCTTATCTCTCATGGATACTTTCCTGGATCCTAATTTCATGGATCCAACAGATTCCTTTCGCTGCTCGGACTTTGATCGTTTTCTTAACGCGGACACAACAACCTTTTTCGAGTTCTCGAAAAGGCATGTCTACGAGAACAGAAAGGAACGACGCTGTTGTCACAGAAGCCAGGAGTAAACCACTAAACAGATACATCTGTAATGATAAATATAATGTGATGGTACAGTAGATACTTTACCTATTCAGAGAATTACATCTATTCACCTGATATTATTTATTTAATTGAGTCTTTAAAAAGCACGTCGGTTCTGTGAGAGAATTAAATAACCTATCATTATAACTTACACTACTTCTACATTATTTTCTTTATTGTATGTACAGTCATACACTTTTAAGATATAACCGTGCATTCAGAATATAATAACAAAGTGGGAATATTCAAAAATGATCTTTTCATTCGTGAAGAAGACGAAATCACTTTACGAGTTAATATTTTGGCTTTCTTTCATACTATTCTTCAAGATTTTTTTCAAAACATAATGTAGTTGTAAAAAAATAAATTTAAACGTCACTAATGAGCGGTTTTTGTAATAATTCAATTGTAATTTTTCTAAACTTACTTATACAAATACGCGAATTTTGAAATCATACGTTGCTATAACCTAATTTTTGCAAGTTCGTATAATTTATTCGAGAAAAAAAGACTTACAGCGACATATTGATCAGCCTGAAGCCTCTCTTTCACGTGCGCTACCAACGTCATTTGAACCAGAGGGTGTATGAGGTAGGTTAAAAAAGTTATCCTGCCGAGGGGAATCCATGCTCGCCAAGATAAAATCTTGCTAACGATCCCTTCAGATATAACGAAATAAGAAAACAAATATAAAAGAAAATAATTAGAGCACAACTTTTATTCGAAAACTTGTCAATATCGGTGAACGTTGTTTAGTATACAAAACTATGAAAAGGTTTTTAATAGAAGATTTCAATAACAGTTTGCATTAATAAAATAAATACAAATTATATGTTCTCGTTGAGTAGCGTTCTAGATAGACTCCATTCTTTTAGTTGTCACTGCTTATTAGTTTTGGTTAAATCAACACTTATTTCATCTGTCATTTAAACCTCACCAAATGAGGTTTGTAGAACCATTTCCCAAGCTTCTATTATTACACTAGATATTACTAAATGACGTAAATAAATGTTAGTATGGTTTTTCTTTGATTTAGATTCCTACACTTGCTATAGCAAAAGTACTCCTTTCTGTTTTTTTTTTTTATCTGAGGTACTTAATTATCCTTTGCTTAAAATCATAACTCCTGAGGATGAGGTTGTAACGTCGAAACATGTAGAGTCGTCAACTGTTTGAAGGCCATAGATAGGCCTATATAAAATGTTGTTATGGCAGCGATGTCACGTGGCTAGTATCACGCCACGTCCTTCTCTCGAACCTTCGTGAATTATCGGGAGACTACTAGATTGGGAGTAGTCTGGTATATATAAGATGGTCACAACGTGACGAGGTAATGAGTAATTGAACTGAGTATTGTCGAGCACGTGAGACGTCCTAGCGTTTGTTATAGAGCGACTGTTGAAATTAAGTGTATCGGTAAAGTTGTATTCGGAAAGAATAAACCAGTTTTATCTAAGAAAGGACTTGTGTCGCTAAAGTTTCGTTGGAACGAATTTACGGAAAATTAATTAACTAACGAACAGAGACGTAACAATGTTTTTAATTGTGTACCAGTTTAACGTTGAATATTGTTTATGATTTTAACTTTACACACAAGTGCCAAAATACTATAATTATCCTTCGCTTGTTATATTGTAACTAAACTGCAAAGTTAACATTGCAATTAAAGATGCCATATGAATTTAATGAACATGTTAACATTTAAGCTCATTTACCTCCATTCCCAGTTACACAAACAAACGTTAGCCAACCAATCCCGAGAGCCCAGACTGTTCTGTGCGTGGCAGCATAAATTACAGCATCAGCAGCTTCTATCACTTCGTTTCCTCTATTCCAATAGTAGACTCCAAATACAACAGCTAAATTACAGGCGACTGCTGCTGTCCAGCCAAGAACCAGGACATACTGAAAAGATCATTGGCAAATATTCAAGAACTATAGAATCAATGAAAAACTCTAATATTATAATAAATTCTCAAACACCGTGTACACATAATTGTGTGCAACAATTATGCCCAAATGTTATGTAGAAAAAAATTGAGAGAAATAATCCAGAATAGAGTTCACAAAACGGGTTTGTTTTTTAAGTAAACTTGATAGCCAAAAGTTCACATACTGAATGTTTCATAATATGAAAAAAAAATTATAATATCAACATTCGTCTGTTTAATTGGCATAATATTAACATTCAAGTAAGAAAAATGAAGAAATGATTTAATTAAGTTGTGTGATACGACTCTTGGGTTACTCTTTTGCCAACGAATAGTGGGATTGACCGTCACATTATAACGCCCTCACGGCTGAAAGGGCGAGCATGTTTGATGTGACGGGGATTCGAACCGGCGACCCGCAGACTGCGAGTCGAGCGCCCTAATCACCTGGCAATGCCGGGGCCTAAAATTGGATGATGGCAGTAATTATTAAGCTGGAAAGGAATTGTAAAGAATTGATCAATGCAAGAAAATTTAATTAGAAAAATATTATTTTGATTATTAGATTGAAAATATGTAATGGTTATTCCCTTTATAAGTTGGGATTTATAAGCAATTCTGATTGAACTTATATACTTGTGAAATCTCTGATATATTGTAAAAAACTGTATGAAGCGTCAGGTGCCTCCAGAGATTGATATTTGTTTGCTGAATTTCGCGAAAAGAGAGAAGGCAGTCAACACTACTCACCGCCAACTCGTGGGTTACTTTAATTGAATAGTGTGATTTGACTGTTATTCTAATAACTCACCCACGGATTGTTGTGATTTTTATGGCGGGAACAGGTTGCGGACCACGGATTCTGAGATCCACAGTACGACACGCTAACAAATAGGCCGCGCTCGGCCATAGATAAATAAGTATTTCATGACTTAAATTCTGCTAAATCATTTCAACTTATGCTTAGCTTAAAATACATTTATAACAAAAAAGTTAGGTAATGTTAAAGAATAGCAAGAGTAATCTTAAGAAATATTAACATTATCAGTTGGAAATGCTTAAAAAGCTTATTTCATATATACGTAGGTGTGTACATATATAAACAGCTATAAAACACATGAAAAAATATTAACATTATCAGTTGAAAATGCTTAAAAAAGCTTATTTCATATATACATGGGTGTGTAACATAATAAACATCTATAAAACGAATGAAAAAAAAATCAACATATTGTTTAGGCTAGCAGATAATACAATAAAAACGTCTTTAATAGGTATTATTCATACAATTCTTAATTTTAATAACCAAAACAATATTGTAGAAGGTCTATAATGTTATAAGAGGAGACCTAAAAATGTGTTGAGATTACAACTTTAGATTATTTTCAATTTGATAAAAAAAGTGAAAGGTTTTGCTTTTTGAAGTCGAATTTTGAGTAACACTTGGCGCCTGAGACCAGAAAGTCGTCGAATTTTGAGTAACACTTGGCGCCTGAGACCGGAAAGTCTTGCATATTTTAATTCTGGGATTTTACAACTTTAGACTGACACAACAAGCTTAAATACATAATATATGCCCCCCAGTGGCACAGCGGCATGTCCGTGGACTTACAACGCTAGAAACCGGGTTTCGATACCCGTGGAGGGCAGAACACAGATAGCCCATTGTGTAGCTTTGTGCTTAATTCTAAACAAACAAGCATAATACATAGTTAATTTTTGTACCTTTCATAATATGAAATTACACGAACTAAGTCATATAATGTCTTATCAAGTTGAAACATAGTTATGCATTATAACCGGTTATTATTAGCATTAAATTTATTGAGAAATCCTTTCATTCAGCTCATTTACATAGTATTAACTTGTCATCAAGTTCATTCTAAATGTTTTAGAGCATGAAAATCCTCCATATTTCACGTTCTATCAGTGGCCTAGCTAGGATGATGAGAGCAGATGCACATCAAAACTAATTCTCAGATAGTCATGAGCCATGAGAAGGGATTTGTTATGCAGTTCAGGAAGTTTGCTCCATATTACAGTAAAACTCAACTGATTAATAACAAAGTTTATTAATAAATAGTAAAATAACCTTTTGTCAATACACCTTCAATTCTAATATTCTAGATTTCAGTTGTTTTTAAGTGATGTGTTAACACTCGAAATCACAAACAAGTAACATTATCCATTGTACCTTCCTGAAAGAATCGAATGACCTGTGAATTAGATTTAATGCTGATGAAACCATGGTTGAACACTTGACTCCTAAGCATTTCATATATTCGGCTTTGTATTTATTAAAAATCTGAATATTTAATAGCTTGAAAATAATATTAGTATTCTATATTTTGCCCACACTTCTTTTCATTAGGAAAAATAGGTGAAAGGAAAACAAAGTTCTCCTACCGGTTTCAGTATGATATACGAACGCTTTGCGATAGCGTAGCCTAGATACATGCCAACACAATATGCCCCAAGGTGGATGTATGGTTTGTGATACATAATGTCTTCAGACTGAAGTCTTTGCCTGGAAAAAAAGACAAAATCTTTATCTTTAGTGGTTATGTTCTAAAACAAAATGATTCAACACCGCACACTAATTACACGTTTTCTCACGAGTTTTCTGGCGATTTGCTAACAGCAGCTTTCGTAAGAAACAAGTATAGAAAGTGTTTTATTAAGAAATGTTTTTCAATCAATTACAGAGAAACCAGCATTTGTTAAAAAAGCGTATTTTGGAAGTTTCAGTTCGATGTTTTTTTTTTGTTTTTTTTGCAAAAGAATTTAAATTTCTTACAATCTGTCACTCAAGCAGTAAAGCATGATATATTCTACGAATGAAGTGTAAAATTATATATTTACATAGCTATTTACATGCGGGTTACAGCGACCCCCTGTTTTCTAAGAAAGGTTTTGTAAATATAAACTATTGATTATTGATAGAAAGTAAATAGAACAACTGGTTTTGTCAGTACAGAATAAAATAAAATAAAATATCATTGCAATCAAATAGGATTCGCTTTAAAGTATGAAGCTAGTAAAGGCTTACCGTAAATCAGCTTGAGCGAACAATACGGTCGGTGGAAGAACGTAGTAGACGGTTAATGCTGCAGTTATCGTAATACACGATATTATTAACCCTATTATGACGAGAACACCAAATCTCGGTAATCTAATATCAGAGAAAAAGTAAGATATGTTTACATAGCAAGAGTTTTTACGTAGTTCAAATTTATGTTATACCACTATGCTTATAGTTAATGCATGCAATGAATACTTTGAATAACTTAATGTAACAGTGTGAGTCTATTGCTGTCAACAGAGGTATTGTCCCAACTTCACGACAATAAAAACTTCACAAGCAAGAGCTCCAAGTTCTGGACAGAGGTAATGTTCCACACTCCATGACAATAAAACTCTACAAGCTACAGCTCCAAGCTCTGGACAGAGGTAATGTTCCACACTCCATGACAATAAAACTCCACAAGCTACAGCTCCAAGCTCTGGACAGATGTGTTGTCTTATACTTCACGTATCATAACAAACAAAATTCCACAAGCTACAGCACCGAGATATTTACAACTATTACCATTCCACGCGTATTCAATGTGCTTGCGCCTACTCGATTATAATAGTTTCAGAATAACATGCTTTAATGGTATGATCGATAGGGAAATAATTCGTTGCCTAAAGTTGACTGATCTGCATTTATTTTACGAAAATTGAAACGTTTGTGAATTTTCAACGTTTTAACCTGAAAATACTAAGCCAACTCTTTACATACGATTACAGGCTCAGTTCCAGACGGAATGTTAAATTATGCAGCTCATTTATAACTGAAGAACCCATATTTCAGGTTAATTCGTATGACAGAGCTTGTTAACAGTTTTTTCTTTGCTTCCTGTTATCACTAGAACACTCTAGTGTATTTTTGTTGATTTTTAACTTTCTGTTTGAATTATAAAAGTATTTTTCTTCTAATCTTTGTTGTATAGAATTTAAAGGTTAATTGACCATAAACTTTCCTCTTTTCTTTTATACAAAATAAAAGATACATGCACAAAAGCAAACACAGACTATATTGAGTAATTTGTTGATGAAATGATTAAAATTGGAAAATGTTTTACATTCTATTCGGCAGATGGTGCTAAAAATAGTTCAACAAGCAAACGCAGCTGGAACATGATAAAATCGGAAAATACAAAGAAATGGTTAAAATGATTACAAGAAAAAAATACTTATTTATCAGCTGAAATGCTGATCATATAATGTAATTATTTTCCTATTATATCGATTTTAACCATTTATTTTTATTTTTAAATTACAAAGCAGTTTAGATTTTTTATTTCAAATATAGCCATTTTTATAATATTCATATCTTCTATGCAAGTTCTGTATCTTAATCAAATTACTATTTAGGGAAAAGCTGGAGTAATGTATTGTACAGATAACATAAATAAAAATTATATATATTTCTGTTGAAAGAAAATTGACTCGGTATGGCCAGATATTTAGAGCGCTTGACTAGCACTGTGAGGGTTGCGGGTTCGAATCCCCAGTCCACCATACATATCCGCCCTTTTACCATCATTAATGTGATGGTCAATCCCACTATTCGTTGGTAAAAGAGTTGCCCAAAAGTTGGCGGTGGGTGGTAATGACTAGCTACCTTTCCTCTAGTATTTCACTACTAAATTAGGGACGGCTACCAGATAGCCCTCGTGTAGTTTTGCGCGAAATTCAAGATATAGAAACCAAAAGGAAAAATTTATACAAATTTTTACGTGGCTGCTATTGAAGTAATTAGTATACACGTCTTAATCTTTGTCTTCATTACAGGTTATTTAGATTAGAGTTTTAATTCAGAACAATAAAATAGAATTAGAGTCCAAATGTGTTATTTCTATGTGCATTAGCAATAAAGCTTATATCATGGTGCACTTCTTTCTATAAATTATTGGTATTTCCATTTATATCTATGCGTTACAACAACACAATTTATGATAAAAGTGAGTTTTGGGCTTCCCGGCATATCAGTTCGTTTCACATCTTTTTTTTTGATATGGAGAGCTGATGTTTAGTTGGAGCTCTTCATTATAATGTTTGCAGGTAAACTGCTAGTGCTACAGCCACTTTATTGTTTGGAACACATATACGTGACAAAGTTTGTGAAGACTACGCATTGTTTTGAAGTCGTGGCAGGTGACACAAAACGCATAACGATGTCCTCTTGAATCATGTGAAGAAATGGACCGAGGAGAGTAAACTTTCTGCTCTTGCTTTGTTTCGCTTTTGGAATGGATTATAATTAAATATACGCACGTGTATATATACAAATTTACACCACAGTTTAGTGTTTCGTATGATAGTAATTATAATATATAACAGTTATACAGAACTGGGAAATTAAAAACCGACTAAAGCAAACGAAAGTAATACTTATTATCTCAAACGACTGGAAAAGTATACAGAAATATACCAAAACATAGTTAAGAGCATTTGAAAGTACGGTTACCTTTTGAGAAGCAAAATGATGCCAACTGCAACGAATAAGAGTTGGGCTTCACAAGACACATACCAAGAATGCTCCAAGCACTATAAAAAAAGAGAAAAAAATCCAGTTCGAACAAACTCATTATCACATATGTGTGTGTGTGTGTATTTAGTTAAAAAAATAAATCAAAATTCAATTTAACATTTTCGAATTATCTAGAAAAACTGTATTTTGCGCTTATTAATCACTGAATATGGCTATCAAACTAGTGTAGCATTTTAATAAGTGAGACAAATTATGAATTAATATAAGCTCCTGAATAAGAACAATTTCGTTAAGTTTAATAAATCATGTTTTTTACGTTTCTGTTCATTATAAATATGGAAATAAATGAGCCATTGCCGAGTTTACAGAAATATCTGAGTCATGGCCAGGTGGTTAGGGCGCTCGACTCACAATCTGCGGGTCGCGGGTTCTAATCCCCATCACACCAAACATGCTCGCCCTTTCAGCCGTGGAAGCGTTATAATGTGCGGTCAATCCCACTATTCATTGGTAAAAGAGTAGCTCAAGAGTTGGCGGTGGGTAGTGATGACTAGCTGCGTTCCCTCTAGTCTTACGGACCTAAATTAGAGACGGCTAGCGCAGATAATCCTTGTGTGGCTTTGCGTGAAATTCAAACCAAACATTCAACACTAGACTTTAGTTTGAATTTTCTAAATGAAACATTTGTTTAAGCGGTTGCAAATAAATATTAAAACATTGAACTTAATACTCAAAGTTAATAACTTGTTTATTTTAAATTATAATGTATTAAGAAACTGGGCGTCATGGTTTTAAACTTTCAACAAATTAAATTATTTAAATAGCTACAGAAGAGCAAAAACATTGCAATATGCGACATAATTTTTTCATGTTGAGAAAAAAAAACTTACATATATTATCGTAGTTTAAGTAGCAATTTCAGGGAAGTTTTTATCCAAAATTGCAATATAATATTTTAGCCTCGAGTAATATTATATTTATGACTAAGCGACAGCTGGGACTAAGTATTGTATTTTACATTAAAGTATCTTTAGTTTACGAAGCAAAGAAACTATCACATATTTTCCAGATAATTAGTTCAGTTAAATTTGATTTGCACGGCCATGTTTAGATCGTGAGAGCTGTCTATGTATCCTGTTCTCCTCATTTTGGTCAGCAGCTCTATAAAAGTTAAAGATGGCTAAATGCAAGAATATGTTTGTTTGTTTTTAATTTTCTCTCAAAACTACAAAGGTCTATCTGCAAATAACCGATCCTAAACTTTGAGATTATAAACTAGGTCGAAGGCAGCTAGCCAACAACACCCATTGCCAGCTTTTGGGACTTGACCACAACTTTGGTAGCGCACTCCTGGTCCCAAAGTGCGGAGCATGTGTTTGCGGCAATAAACAGCCGTATTCACATTTCGCGAATGTCAAATCTTTGCTTAGGACGGTTCAATATGCCCGAACTTTAGAGGTTTCTGATCTGGGATCCAAGTGTGCCCAAGCGGTTAGCGACTGGGCTATGGATTTGAGGGTCCATTATTCGCGTACCGTTACTGATAGAAAAATCACCTTCCACACTTTGGGGCCTTGGGTACGTTATAAGAGTGACCACTAAACTTGTCAGATGAGAGTGATGGCAAGAAATGGCAGTGTGTGCTATTGACTAGCTGCCTTCCCCCTAGTTTGTCAGTTGATATTTCTTAAGTAATTCTGTGCATATATCCGAGAAAAACAAACAAAAATCTGACCTGTCTTCTTAGCCCAGAATAGGCTTCTAACTTAAGAACAAAAGATAAAGATCAAGCGCCATTTTGACGATTGAAACACCCAAGTGTAGTTAACTGATATTTACTATTTCAGAATCATGGGGTTCAAAAAGGTGATGTCAAAAATAAGATTTCTACACTGATCCCATTTTCTTGTTCAGAGAAGAATACGACTTTGGTGATCTGACTCCAAATGAAAAGTATTAAACTACAAAGATTAATGACTAAGCACTTCAATAAGTTCCCTAAGAGAAAAATGGGCGTAAGAAAGTTCACTTTGAATAACGAAAATGTTTGGTTCAACATGTTTTTATTACTTAAGTTTCTTGTTTTTTAGAGAGTGATATAATCATTTGTAGATTATCAAGTAATCCCCTTGAAAAAAAAAAGGACTGTATCATTTTTTTATATTCAAAACACAGTGTACTTATATTAGTAATATCGATATTTTCCAAGGAATTATAAAGTTACAGATATTTAGAATATCTATCAATATCTATTATTCTCTATGAAAAGTTCCAACTATAAAAGTAGTTGAGCAGAAATATAAGATGTAAAGGCAAAAAAGTTTGGCGCGGCCTAGTTTTTAGTGTTCCGGACTGTGGATCTGTGCAGCATTGTCGCAATAAATAAAATAACATAACTCACGCTTCGTACTTTAGAGTCATGAGTGCGTTATAAGAGCGAAGTGAAATTTCATAATCTGATTAAAGTAGCGCAAAAATTGATAGCAAAGTAGAATGGAATAGAGATATATAAAATTTGGATAAGAACTAAGGTAAGCGATAATATCAAACACAGACCATTATTTTATAAATACTGTATACTGTAAATGGCAACTAAGTTTTTTTAGAAGACCAACTATTTGTTAATTTACAAACAGTTAGATTGATCTTACCCTATCTTCAGCACTGACAACAAAGTTGTTGACAAACAGCAAATTCGTCCACCAACGTTCACGACAGTTAGTGATTAAGGGGTCAAGGATTTCAGACCATACGGGTCCTCCTCCGATAAGAGGAAAGAGAACCGTCAGCGCCACCACGACCATGTGCGCAGGTATCAATCTATAAGGTAAGCATAAGGATACATAGGATAAGGTACAAAATCTTTCATTAACTTCTTTTTACCTAAATTTTCAGTGATTATGGTTTGGTTGATTTTAAAAGTGAGCTTAAGATTCTTGAGTCATCAATTTATTTTACGGGCAAGGAATTCGTTAACTGTGGTCAGTGACTGCATGTGTGATTTTGATACGTATTGTCAGCAAATATAGAAAAATGTTTTTTCACATTTCGTCCAACGTTGGAAGTCTGGAAATCGTCATATTACTTAAACATATAATGTTGAAATATTTATTTATCCATGTAACAACGGATCTTAATACATCAAGAAGTGGTACTTATTCAAGATCCCAAGAGCAATGATGTTATTAATGTTCATTTAGAATTACCATTCCGTGACTATGAACCGAACTTTTTTACATGCCAAAATAATAGATACACCTCGACTTACTGTTATACAAATAAATAGTCCAATTACTTCTAAAATATCAGGTTATTTATAAAATTGAAATAAAACTAAAAGTATATTTTAGGTACTTTATTTGTTGATACAAAAACATTTGACAATAATAACTTATCAACCAGTGATAACACTGTACATTTGTTTAATTAACATGTATATTTTGCCGCAAACGTTACATCTATGTTACGATATAACGTAAACAAGATTTCAATCTGACATCTAGTGTTACATATAGCAACTAAACTATTACCTGTAGATACGATGAACAAACAATAGCAGTGGATTAGAAAAAGCTTTCACTGGAGTTTCTCGCCTTAATACTGTGTATGTTGCTAGGAAACCACTGGAATAAAAAAACAAATTATTAGGAAAATATAGAAACAGTAATCCATCATTTTTTAAGTAATTCATTACTTCTTCAATGATTAGTTGTTCATATTCGTGAATGAAAATAAAAAGAAAGAACTTTAAAAGTTTCAATGGTATGCAAAAGATAAATAAAAATAGTATCCGTCTATTTACTGATTTACTGTACATATCAGGTAAAAAAGTAACCACTTACATATAGTACATACCTGATAAAAGTATCCCTCTATGCATGTTACATACCTGATAAAAGTATCCATCTATATATATGGTACATAACTGATAAAATGTATCTATATATATATATATGGTACATACGTGATAAAATATCCATCTATGATACAAATCTGATAAAAATATTCGTATAGCTATGATACTTACCTGATAAAAAAGAACGTGTCCAGTGCTAAAGTGCAACTCAAAAATGGCTGGAAGGCAAAGCTTTCAGAAACAGCTATAGCTCTGATAAGTTGACCTACATATAAAATTGCACGTTAGATTTGATGTAAATACTTAAGATTTTCGAGATATTTGTCTATAGTAACCAACACATATTCACTCGGACTTTCAAAATAATTTGCTGTTTAGTGAGGCTAATAAAATCCTGAAAAATTTGACGGTTTAATCTAGATACATAGAGAAAATATGATGGAGGAATCAAGTCAAACATATCACGTTCTTGTTTATTGTAATAACAAATATTGAGCAAAAAGAGAAAGAAATACTGACAAGTATATTTATCGTAGATGCTGATGACATTCCTTCTTTTACCTGAGGGTAATTTTATCAGGTATTTCTTTGCTAGTAAATAGTTGATTTAGCCTTCTCGTATTAGAATAAAATAGCCTAATGGAGTTTTGGTAGTTCAATATATGCATATATATATAGACACATGTACAGGCTGATATACACCACATAAGCATCTTCTGTTTCTTATACATATATTAACATTATAAATCGCATTCTGACTCAAAATAAAATGACATATTAAAACTTTAAATTCTAAACTAAAACACCATATTACTATAGCTTTTCACTGTAACAAAATCTACCGTATTTAAAACTTATAATTGTAACTCTCTTTATTTTTTTTTTTAAGATAGCGATTCGGCCTGGTATGGCTTGATGGTTAGGTCACTCGACTCACAATCTGCGGTTCGTGGGTTCGAATCTCCGGATCGAACATACTCGCCCTTTCAGCCGTGGACTATGAATCGTTGAGAAAAGAGTAGCCCAAGAGTTGGCGGTGGGTGTTGTTGACTAGCTGCTTTCCTTCTAGTCTGTCACTGCTGAATTAGGGACGATTAGATCGTCCAGGCACTCCAACTATTAGACCGTAACTGACCTTACTTATTCGAGTTGGAAGCAATGTTCCCTCTACTTTTTTCAATCCATGTGCGGAATGAATTTTTTCATGTGCACCAGTATCAAGACAATGCGAGGATGTGCGCTACTAATTTTTTTTAGGGGGATATTTTTTAGACTAGTAATTCTACTGGATCATTAGGCCGCTTTGCAATGCTACCAGTTTGTTAATTTGGTTTTAAGCCTATAGACTGCCAGGATCATTAAGACCGTCACCATTACTGAGGATGTGTGCGGCTGGAATAATGAAGTGCGCGGCACTTGATTGGTTGTTATACGCCCGCGGAGCTTAGAGGAAACACTGGTTGGAAGGCTGTAAAATTACAAATGTTTCTATATTTACAAAAGAAAACTTTAATATTTCAAGGTAATAATCCAATACGATGTACTGTAATGAAAAAAGATTAGCGTGTCGGACAGTGGATCTGAGAGACCATGTATCGCTATAAAAAACTGTTAATTATTTTGTGACATGATATTTCATGGTTGTTTAGTTTTTTATAATAATAGAGTTAAAAGCAGACGATTATTGGAAGTTGTGTTTACAATTTATTGATGTTGAGGCTATCGAACGTCGCGTGAAATTTATTGATGTCCAGGATATAGATATTTCTAGAAGGCGAGCAGATGATTTAGTGATAAATATATAAATAGTGTGAAATGAGCGGGAAGAGCAGACATACAGACAAAGACAGAGCAGACGAGAAGTTAACTAAAGTTACGAGAAGGAAATCAGCCAAAGAAAAGTTAAACGCAAAGTTACTCGTGGTAGGAGTGGAAGGCCTAACGGTTGATATATTAGAATGAGACTAACGGCGTTGAAAGAGGTAAGAAAAATAGTTTATTTCGTCAAAGAGAGTAATTGAACTAGCTTCAGTGGACTTTGACAAATAGACAGACGATTCTCGGTTTGATTCATATCTTATGTCGAAGTCTGTATTATTTTAGGTTAGATAAGTGTGAGATTTACTGCCATTATTTTGAAAGAAAATTACTGAAATAAAATATTTTCATCTGTAGGGTATTCAGACTTACTTTTTTATACATTTCTATCCCCTACATTCCCCATTCATTCATCTAACTCCTTCTCTCTCTGGCATGTTTTTCAGCAATGAAACCTCTATCGTGGTTTGATTATAGTGAAACACTCGAACACAGGTCGACTATTACCGCAAAAAAAAATAATAAAAAAATTGCGCTTTGCACTTTTGAGATTCGTTATGAGAGTGACGGCCAAATCTTGCTATTCATAAGAGTATCTGAAGAGTTGGGGCTGGTTTTCTGTTCACCAATCACCTTCCAATCAGTCTATTGTGACGAATTTGTTATTATATACTTATTTT